TGTGTGTGTGTGTGTGACACAGCCCTGCCCTACCCACCTGCCCTCCCAAGGCCAGCCCTGGAAAGGGGCGTTTGAGGCCGTCCAGTGCTGCTGGCCGGGCGGGCGAGCAGTGCTCCTGGGTGGCGTTCTAGAAGGAGTGGCTGGCTGCTTCCTCCTGCTCGCTGACCTCCCCCTCCCCCTCCCCAGGACCAGGGCACCGTGGGGGTGATCTTTAACGTGGGCACGGACGACATTACCATTGACGAGCCCAACGCTATCGTGAGCGACGGCAAATACCACGTGGTGCGTTTCACCCGGAGCGGCGGCAACGCCACGCTGCAGGTGGACAGCTGGCCGGTCAATGAGCGGTACCCTGCAGGTAGGCGGCGCGGGGCCTGCGGAGGGCGTGGGCGGGGCTTAGAGCCGCGAGCGCTGCGGGGGCGGGGCCAGCTCGGGGGCGGGGCCAGAGGGGGGAATCGGCTTTGCAGGGCCTGGGTGCTTGAGCAAGGAGGGGTCCAGTTTGGGGTTCGGGGTTCGGGGGGGTCGGGGAGGAGAGGGGAGGAAGAAGTCAAAAGAGGCAGGCCCAGCTGAGGGGAGGATTCAGAAATGAGGCCCAGGCCGACCTGGGTGGTGGGAGGGCAAGTCTGGGGGTACAGTGGAGAGTGAGTCGGGGACCCAGGACAGCAGAGGCTTAGCCACGGAGAGGCAGAGAAAAGAGGAGGACGAGGACAAGTGACAGGAGTGACGCCGAGGGTCACACGCACACCTTCCCTGACAGCCTCCCTGGTCTCAGACCTTGGGTGGGGGTCAGGGGACCCCGCGGGGCGGCAGTCTGGTGGGGAGCCCCAGGAGGGCACACGCTGATGGCAGGGGACACAGCAGGGTCTGAGGAGCCCCGAGAATTTGGAGGGGGCGTGGAGGATGGGATTGCTGAGGAAGCAGGGAAGGGAGATGGTAGAAACTGGCTTCCCGGGAGGAGCGGAGCAGTGTGGGCGAGACTCGGTCAGTCAGCCAGTTGGGAGGAGGGGGGAGGCCAGCAGCACTTCAGGGGAGCGCTGTGGAACCCCCGCAGAAGCCTGGAGCTTGGCGGGTGACACCGCAGCGCACACGCAGGGCAGACTGGAGCAGAGCGGGGACAGAGAAGCTGCCCACACTGAGAGAAGGGACAGGCATCCCCTGCCTCAGCCCTGCTGAATGAAAGATGCCACTACAGGCCCATGCCTCGCCCGACCCCAGGCCCCCTGGAGAAGACCCACCCCACCGGGCTCTGAGGCTGAAGACCCACCCCCCCAGCTCCTCACTGAGGCCCGGGGGAATGTGGGGGGGGTCCCTCAGATACACACCCACCCCATTAGGGTCACACAGGGCCAGGCCAGACAGATCAGCCCTGCAGAGTCAGTGAGGCTTAGTCTCCCCAAAACACACCATCCAATCAGCCTCTGCAGGCAGGGTGGCAGGTGCCTGGGCTGAGCTGTGCAGACTGGAAGACCACTAGGCCAGGCCAGGCCTGGGGTCCAGTGCTTGGTCCCTTGAAGCTTGGCAGGCCTGAGGCCAGGCCAGGGCAGCTACATTGTTCTCTTTTGCTCAGAGACTCCTGGCTGGGTGCTGGGTGCCAGGTGCCCTCCTGCTGCAGGGTGGATGGAGTAGCCTGAGGGCAGGTGGCTGCCTTTGCCCCCTCTTCAGGCAGATCTTTCAAGAGCCAACTCTCCTCCTGAACCCCTTTGCAAGCCAGCTAGCTAGAGGGGTGAGCCCAGAGAGGGCCCCTCTGGCTCCGGGGGCCCAGGGACACAGCAAATGAGCCAGACTGGCTCATTCCAGGATGAACTCTGGCCAGACCTGGGATCTGGGCTTGGAATTCCTGTGACAGGCGTGTGCCTTTGACAAGTGGCATCTAACCTCTGAGTCTCAGTTCCCATCTCTGAAAGGTGGGGGTGATACTGGCCACCTTGCAGGGCTCTTGTGGGGCATCAGTGAGATAGGAGGAAGGTGCTAGAATGGCGTGCAGGGCTGAGTGGAGGAGCTCAATACACAGAGCTTTTGCTAGACCTGCTTATTCAGCCTCTCACAGGTGGGGCAGGTGGACGTGTCCCTACCTCTCAGTCACACACATACACATACACCACACACTTCTTGGAGTGCCCACTGCCCTTCTGTCCCACACTTCAGGCTCCTACCTCTCCTTCCCGTGCCCCAACCCCAATTGTCCCCCAGGGTAGGAAGCTCTATGGCCCCTCTAATGGAACTCCCAGCTTGGCCACTGACCGGTCTCCTCTACTGGGCTCCTCACGGGTCAGGAGGGGGGCACTGGGAGACCCAGACCCAGTGTTCCCTGGTGGCCATGCAGCCGGCAGATGAGGCAGATAAGAGTTGGGTTAGTGACCGAGACTGCGTGTCCCCCCCGCCCCCCAGGACAATCATGACCCTTACTCCTGCTGTCGCCTTCACCCCCAGTCAACGCACGATGCAGGGGTACTCACAGGACCGCCCAGACACAATGACGACTGTCTGCCTTCACACACACACACACACACACACCACCCCCACCCCGTCTCCAGGGACTGAAGAAACGCAGTGACAGGCAGGAAGAACAGGTGGGGATCCAGGTGGGCAGCCCCGGTGTGAAAAGCAGCATTGTGTAGGGCTTGGAATTGGGGGCTGGTAGGAGAGAATATGGGTGACAGGCCCCTGGGGCCTGGGGCAAGGTCTTGAGGGAGCCAGGAAAGGACAGGGGGGGGGAGGGGGGCTCCGGGTCTGCTCGGAGGGCTCAGGGGTCTGTGGTGAGAGAGCCAGGTGAGGGATGAGGAGGGTGGGGAGGAAGCAGGTGGGCTGGCAGAGGCGGGTCCAGTCTGCAGGGCAGCGCCTGGTGGGCTCCAGGCAAGCCCCTCCCCCACCCCGCTGTCTGTCACCTGCAGCGGCTGGCTCCTGGGTGGCTGCTCAGCACAGCGGAGGGTCTCAGGTCTCGCATGGGGTGGCGGTGGGGCTGTGTGGTGTGCGGTTGGGAAGGCAGGGTGCTGGGAGTCTGTCCGCCTGCCTCATGGATGTGAAGGGAGCGGAGCTGTTTCGAGAAGTTGATCTCACTGCTAACCACGCGTGACCCCCCCACCTCCCCCCTTTAAATGCCGCATAAACCCCGCTTAACCCGCCCCCCCTTCTAAACAGCCCTCTAAATGCAGTAACCAGCTGGGCCCTGACTTAAACCCGCTAAATGCCCCCCATCCCCACCCCAGTGTCCCCCCCTTGGGGATGGGAGCTAATATATGGGGCCGGGATCGCTCGCCCCCAGATAAACCCGTTTAACCTCCAGCCTCCACCTCCCCGCTGCCGTTTCTCTGCTGTGCTTGCTTGTTGTGTGTGTGTGTGTGTGTGTGTGTGTGTTCTCGGCCCTGCCCCTCCTGGAGGGTTTTCGTTGGGTTGCTCCGTGACCCCGGGGTGGGGCTGGTGCCCCTGGGGTGGGGGAATAGCGGGGCCGAAGAAGGGGTCTGCCCTTTCTCGCCCTAGTTTTGGGTGGGGGGCCGCGGCCCCTCTTTCCGTGGCCGGGCGCTGTGCGGCCCCAAGACTGCAGGGCAACGCGTCCGTCACGTCTTTTCTGCCTCCTTTCGACTGCACCGCCTGAGAAACCGACTGTCTTTCTAAACTTTTCCAAGGAAACTTTGATAACGAACGCCTGGCGATTGCTAGACAAAGAATCCCCTACCGGCTCGGTCGAGTAGTTGATGAGTGGCTGCTCGACAAAGGTAATTAACCAGAATTAATGAATGAATTAACTAACTAACTTTAAACACACCATCTTAAAGGTGCAGAGCTCTCCCCCCCCACCCTCCCCAGCCCTTGTGGTCACCCACCCCCAGGCGAAGAGGACCATTGTCCTACCACCAGGACACCCCCCACTCCCCAAAGTGTGGCCAAGGGGCTTGGGTCTTGTAGCAAGTGTCATGGCTTGGGGGATGGGTACCTCAAAGAGCCCCACGCCCCCCCCCCCACCTTTCTCCTTCTGAACCATGGATTGGGTTGGGGTGAACCCTGGGGAGCCCGAACCTCACGGGCACCTTAGCTGGTAGCTGGCAAGCAGGCTGGGGACGTGGGGACAGTAGTAGGTTCCTGCTCTCCAGCCCAGAGGCTTTGGAGAGTGACAGCACTGGGGGGTGGGGGGTGTGAGGGAGGGTTGTCTAGGGAGCGAAGAGGAGCAAAACCCCAGATCCTACCGGGAAGGCCCCCTGAGGCTGCCCTTGGGCCACAGGGTCCCGCACTGACCTGTGCTCAGTCCAGAAGCCCTCTTAGGTGTGGTGGCTGAGAGTGGAGAGAGGAGCAGGCGGGTCCCACAGGGATTTGGGACCAGCGGCCCTGCTGGGTGAGAATGAGTAGGTGGCCTGAGCCTTGGATGGCCCCAGCCGGGGTGAGGGGCTTTGCACCACCCAGGGGAGCTGGGGCCCAGGGGCCAACCCTCCTAGTCCTCCCACTCCCTGGCGGGGGGTGGCGAGCTCTGCACCTCTAAGGCTAAACTCTAGGGGGGACATAGAACGGTTAAACTGCCACTTAACCAGCTGATAACTGTGTATCTAAATGTCCACCGGGGCCTCTCCCACTAAAACCCCAACGTAACACCCCTGCTCGGGGACTAAACATGCTGATAACCAGGTGTGATAAACCCACAACAGGACAGAAAGTTAAAGGGACCCTACCGGGCCATCGCTAAACCTACAGCCACCCTGGGCCGCTGTCTCCAGCGGGGCGAACTTTAACCCTTTGAGGAGTTCATGGCGGGTGGGAACGGGCCCAGGAGGCTCAAAGACCAAGTTTGTTTACCAGCTATGTGGCTTCCTCCTCTCCCGACCCCTACCCTCTACCCCCTTCACAATCCCTTTCCCCAAGTCAGTGGCCAAGGGAGCAGCCCGGGCTCAGGCCAGGACAACTTGTGACCCCAAGGGTTGGGCCAGCTGGACAGGGCCTCTTTGTGGAGGGGACGGCAGAGGGGCAGGCTCAGGAGGGAAGCACTGGGGCTTGCCATGGGAACTCCAGCTGCCCGTCACCAGCCACATGCTCAGACCTCCCCTTCAGGCCTCCAGAAATGGAAGGATGGGGTTAGATCGGCACGTCCCCGAGGCAACAGCCCCCCCATCAAGTCAGGCCCCTCTCTGAGCCTCAGCTCAGCCTGGAGAGCAGCTGCCCCTGCTCAGCTTTGGGAGGTGGGTGAAGGTGCTGGAGAAGAGCACACAGGAGAATCCTGGAGGGGGAGTCTTTCATGCCCAGAGCCTGCCATACGTTCTAAAAAGAACACTCAAACCCACTGCCATCTGGTTGATTCCGACTCATAGCCACTAGCTAGGGCAGGGCAGGGCAGAGCTGCC